ATTTTGTGATTTTATATTTTCAATTAAAGTTATTCGCATGAGGAGTTTATATTATTGAACTTAATGCATTGAAAGCCTGATCATCTTTCAATTGATTTAGCGATTTATGCATGAACTTGAGAAAGAATTGCGTAGATTAGACCAATAATAATATAAATCGTGTGCTAGACTATGAGACCGAAAGGTAATTAGCTCACATGTGGTAGTGGATGAAGAGAAGAGAGTTAGTAGCTCCCCCTTCTTAAGCTAGAGGTTTCCATAGAATCTAATGCTTATTAGTTTGTTTAAAATTACATAGAGATATGATTAATTTAACAAACCAGTGAAGGATTAACTTGACTTGAGAAAGCTAGTTAATTAATTTAGGGAAATCCGCCATCACATGCAATAACACTCAATAAATTGGTTTGAAAGTATATTAATCCAGAATTTATATTGATTGATTATGGTGAAATCAATGCCTTAGTGCCTCCTATCTTGGTTAGGTTTATTTGTTATTTTCTTTTTATTATTTTTAATTAAAGTTTGTTCCCATTTGGTTGTTCAAATAAATTTGGATTAATTATTTTGGTACTTAGTTAGACACAATCCTCGTGGGTTCGACACTCTCTCATCATTATATTACTTGGGGCAACTAGTACACTTGTTAGGGTGATTTTAGTGCATCAAGTTTTTGGCGCCGTTGCCGGGGATTGTTGATTTAATTAATATCAAAGTTGGTTAATTCTAGATTTAATTTGAATGTTTTCTTTTCTTTTATTTGAATGTTTTCTTTTCTTTTATTTCTTTACTTTGATATTTTTTTTCTTTTGTTTTCGTTTTTGTTTTTGTAGGTCTAACTATGGATCGAGTTGTCTTAAACACTGATGTGGATTATCAATGGCTTGCACCGGAGATGAGGGCACAAGTTGAAGCAGTAATTATCTTGCTAGCAGAAATTGACGATGATGAACTTGAACGATTTCAAGCAGTCATTGAAAGGATCAGATTAAAGAAGGCTATAGTAGAACGATTAAATATCACTTGTCAATGGTGTGGATGTGACCATTTTAGTTATGATTGCTATTTTAAACGATCTAACAAGTGTGTTGATTTTTCTGGTGATTTTTATAGTCAGCAGTACAATTCTTATCCCAATACATGCCATTTTGATCCAAACACCTCATGGAATAATGAAGATATATTGGAGCCACAATCAAGGTTTCAAGCTCCAGAAGAGGAGACATGTTTGAATAAAAATCTGGAGGTCCAATCAAGTCATTTGCTCAACTTAGTTGCTGAAGAGATACAAGGTGAGTTACCTAGTGCAACAATGAAAAATCAAGAAAAAGAGGTAAACACCTTACCCTTAGAGATTGAAGGACAACTTGGAGAAGTAGAAATTATGCCTGCAGAAACTACACAAGAGGATGTCCCAAAGGAGGAAAAGGAAAAAGCTTAGGGGTCATTTGAAGTGTTCAATGGGGAGTCTCTTTTAACCAAATCTGATTTTAATGATTATTTTGTTATTGATATGGTTGATGAGATTTTGCAGAAAAACACTTATGAGGATTCATTTGAGATTTACTTTATTCAAGCAAAGGACCCAATCGAAGAATACATAAATTGCTTGAACACATCATCTTCCTTGGAATCAAAGGGGGCACTCCTAGAAGAATTGGGAAGGCACACCTACTGTCCTAAACCCAAACCACCTCAGAATAGTCATTGGAGAAAATCTTATGGTGGATTCAACTTAAGGGCAAAAAAGCCAAGATTCAAGAAAATGAGAGGACATGCCCTAATACTTGATCCAAAACCACCTTGGAGTGATAGAAAGTCTAGCTAATGACTATAAATTCAGCGCTTCTTGGGAGGCAACCCAAGCATAAAATTTTCTTTTCTTTTATTTTTCTTTTATAGTTCAGATTT